CCAACTCTTAGTGCTCATATCCCAGCTTCTTGTCTTCATATCCCTTTCGCATGATACATAGTTTCACTGGCTTAGTACTCTCCTAATAATTACCTTACTGGTATATAGTTCATATAATTGTAAACCTTGGAAATAGTTTCGTTCAGTGCGTAATGACAAGTTTACCTGTATACCAGTCCTAGTCTCCCTTGAAATAGAAAGAAATTACCATCTGTGAGGCTAAGCATTTCCCTCATCGTCTGACAACGTGATTCGGTCTTCCTATCCAATGTGCCCCAAAGTGGAGGCGACGTAATATATATTGTGGGAAGAATTGACGCATCATCTTACGAAACCTGTACATCTTTTATTTATGGCACCTTTGTTGTCATTTATTGAACAGTTTACAAGCCTGGGAACTTCACAATCCAAGGTTATTGTTATAAACAATCTCCTAGTGCTCCAGAGGTCACAAAGTGTTTAATAAATGTAAGGAAAACCGCCTTGATTATGGAAGGATGTAGAGGTTTCGTAATTGGACTCGTTTATGGTCGACTCCTGGACCTTGTCTCACCCAAGTACCGCCGGATGGGTAATATGCAACATGTTCTCTTGAGCTGACACTACGTAAAAAATTACAACCGTTTGACCTAACTAGAAGCGTACGAGGCCAACCAACCCACCTATCGAGGCTGATGCATAGAAAACGTCAATATTGCCGTGTTTTATCTGCTATAAACACGTCTGATTTTGGACAGATTGGACGATTCCGTAGAAGATGCGAGGCATTAGAAGGGGTCGTGATGGTGGTGAAGGGTGAGCGTGCTGACCACACTGTTATCTTGAGTTATCTTGAGTTACCCACCACTGTCATGGCGGGTAATGACTGCCATCTCCAGGGTGTGGTCACGGCGCCGCCTCCCACGACCACACCCTCCCCCCACTCACTGTCAACGACCCCCTAACGATGTGCACCGGTGAACAACTCCCACAACCGGCCGCTAACAACCCGACTACTTCACCGACCGTCTGCAAGAGGCTGCCCACAATCACCTACCAAGAATCGGCCGGTCGGTCGTAGCACAGTGGTCTACGTCTTCGGTTCACAACCGAGGGTACTAAGTTTAATACCCACGCAGTTCAGAAACAGTTGGGCACATTTCTTTTTACCTAATGCCTACGTTCTCCTAGCAGTTTACAGGTATCACGGAGTTGATGACTGCATCCTGAGTAAGGTCAGTGGTTGGCCTTGAGGGATCTTTCACCTGATGCCTCTGTTCTCCTAGCAGTAAACAGGTACCAATGAGTTAGGCAACTGTTATGGGTTGCATCCTGGGAAGCCAGTTGACCAAGGAGACTGCTTTCAGTCCCGTGAAAGATAATTAAATATATTAAAATCATATAGAAATGTAATATATTAAGCTGTAGGCCCAATGTTGATGCTTGTCCTTACTGTTCAACAGGTATAGGTTAGGTAATAATTGTAATTACGAAGCAATAAGATGCTTATCTTAACATACTAAGAAGGTTAGGTAAGGTCGGTGTTTTCTATGAAGCTTTTCAAGGGAAACTATTATGTTTAGTATGACACCTATGCACGCAACTAATAAGTCAATATTGACTTAATAAATTTGCGAGAACGGGTTGCGCAACCTAGGTCACACCTAACCTAGCCATGCCTAATATAATTCAACCTATCCATACCTAATATAACTAAACCTAGTCATACCTAATATAACTAAACGTAGCCTATCTATAACCTTAACTAACCAAACCTAGCCAATCCAAATCTAACCTAACGTAACCAAACCAGAAAAAACCTAACCTATCTAGTCAAAAATTATTGTATCTATACCTGAAGTGGACGGAGTGTACTAAACCTGTGCTGTTGTGTACACAAGCCATTCACGTTTTGCAACAAATTCAAGAAGGAAGGCATCACGAAATCTAACAAATTACTAGGTCTAGTATAGTACGTATATGCACTATATTAGGCCTAATATTTCTATGTTAAACATGGGATTGTTTTTTAGGCCTAGTACATGTTAGGTTGATTGGTTAAGGTGTTGCCGTTTTTGGTGTTTTTTACTAAACTTAGTAAAAAAAAAAACCGGATGATTAGGGAACAATATTACATATTGTGATCATTCCACAGTCACTAGGTACTATTATTCTAACCTGTCGTCCAAAAATTATAGTAGCATTTATTACTAAAGATGGAAGCACAAAATATGTACTTTTGAACCCAAAAGAGAGACCACTATTTGTACTTTTAACTAAAACGTAGCCTATAACCCAGCGGACGAGAGAGGTTAGAGAGGGCCTGACTGTACACAATAAAAACTTTTTTACAAAACTATGTTTTGCTTATTCCATCCACAGAAGCTACAGGTTTTATTCATTAGTTTTGGATGACGGATACTGTCATTATGGCGGAGTACACTACCAGCCTCAAGCAGTGCTGAAGCCTCAACTTGAAATCTCCTGGGTCGATTATTTCCAGGAAAATTATGAACTTACATTGAACTTTATGCAAATTGTTTCCCGGGGGAGGGAATGGAGGGTTGTGAAGGTGCTTATCAGTTTTGTGGTTGAGGACGAGTGGTCTGGCTCTTGGCCCTGACTCCTAGTTAACATTTGTGGAAAACTTTCCAGCAACATTATAGCATGTCATAGTAATGGTCTATGAAAGCACAAAGGCCAGGCATGGCTAGTTATAGAACAAGCCAAGCTCTCTGGAGGTAGCGTGTCAAGTCAGCATATTACGACTATTTTGTGATCAACACATCCCAGGAAGGCCTCCATAAATGAATCAATAAAGATATGTAATTACATCTAACAGCTATAAGCCTATCATGGTAATACTTCAGGAAGTTCAAGTTGCTTTATTTGCCGCTTTTTAACATCCGTGGACCTGCATGATGGTGTCAACTGCACGTGCAATGTGTAAAAAAAGCAGAACACACTATTTACGTGATAAAAAAGTGTGTGGACAGCGCTACGGGTGCGACGCCTCACACCCTCCTACACACAAGTAAACATTGCTCCTCCACCATGAGGATATCCCAGGAAGGTCAAGTTGCTTTATTTGCCGCTGTTTAACATCCGTGGACCTGGATGGTGGTGTCAACTGCAGGTACAATATGCATAACAAGCAAAACATTCGGTCTAAAGTGTTTTAAGTGTGTTGCCAGAGTGAGGATACTGACACCACAGCAGCATCGTCTTCCCCTCCCTCACACAGTGAGGACCCACGAACCAGATTCACGAAGTAGTTGCGCAAGTACTTACGAAAGTGTACATCTTTCCTCAATCTTTGACGACTTTGGCTACATTTATTAAAACAGTTTACAAGCATGAAAACTTCCCAATCAACTGTTATTGTTATAAACAGCCTCCTGGTGCTTCGGAGCTTATTAAGTGTTCAGTAATTATAAACAAGGCCGCCAAAGATTGATACAAGATGTACAGGTTCGTAAGTACTTGCGTAACTGCTTCGTGAATCTCGTCCCAGGACAGTGATGCCACAGCTGTGTCCTATCCCGCCCTCACACACACAGTAAACAATACTCTGCCACAACACCAAGACACTTTATTTCAAATGTTTTAAGTGTATCTTCATATAAACTGTGAGTGGAGTGAAAACAACGCCTGAAGCTAGAAGCCGACACAGTCAACACCGCCGTTCCAACAACACTAGTAAACAACACTACAAGTTCTATAAGAGGGCTCAAGTCTTAGTGCTATAAACTATATATCTGCTGCCTCTAGCACCTCATTAAATTACACTACTATACACAGAAGGGTAACATGTATTCTTTAGATTAGACTATATTTCCAGTTTCTAGATTTGCTATCTATTTATAATGCCTCTCGATTAAAACATGCTGTATTTATCTATCTAGTCCATGCCTCTTAAAATCTCGAATGTTGTGATTATGTCTCAGTTGTCAGCTTTTCCAATAAAGTTATATAACAGATTCGCGGCATCTCTCTCAAACTTCCAAACTTTCTTTTAATACTTTACAAGCGTAGGGTTGCACGCAGGTGCTGCGTACTCCAGGAAGAGAGGCACCATTTAGCAATCTGCATAATGACTTCTCAAGTTTCCCACAAATCATTATATTTGTCCCTCTAATAAGCCGCTGATGATTTCTTGTTAATATGTTTTAAAATTCAAGTTCATCAAGTTATATTCATACACGTTTGTACGTTTATAATCGAGTTAACATACATTTACAGTTCGTTATTTACCAAAGAGAAAGTTATATTCAAAGACTAACATTACAATTTTACGCTGTATAATCTAGATTTTGAGGTTACATTTATTAAATCATTACAGTTGTAGCTGAAGTGAACAGGTGCACAAGCCATATACAAATAATTAGCTTATTTGAACGACCCCCTTCCTAATTATATATCACAAAACTGGAATGTCCAAACCTAGGTTTAATTTTTTTATTCTAATGTTCTGAGTGACTGGACACTGTATTAACAAATTATGTTGCATTAATCATGCATGCAAGAATTACAGCCTACTATAACGATCAATTACATAGTTTACGTTATCAGAGCTTTAAATACTGATCAATACTGGATAGTATTGATCGGTCCTGTACACATGGTTACTGGGAGAGGAAGGAGAGGGGGGAGGGGGGGGGGGGTGATCCATCACAGCATCACCGTGTAGCCATCCACATCCCTTGCAGTCATTAATGTCATCAATGGTCATCAATGTCACCAATGGTCATCAATGGTCATCAATGTCATCAATGGTCACCAATGGTCATCAATGTCACCAATGTCATAAAAGTCACGAGTGTCTGAGAGGGAGCAAGAGTGTGAGTGAGTGTGTGTGTGTGTGTGTGTGTGTGTGTGTGTGTGTGTGTGTGTGTGTGTGTGTGTGTGTGTGTGTGTGTGTGTGTGTGTGTGTGTGTGTCCGTCCGTCCGAGCGTCTGCATGGGGAGTGGAGAGCCGTATATAAGAGAGAGAGCCTCGCTGATAGCCATCACAACCCATCGTTCCTCTTCGCCAGACGCAACGGGACCTCTCCCTCTCCAGTCATGTTCAAGGTTAGACTGTAGCCACCCACCCTCACCATACTCAGGTGAAGGTGAGGTGCTGTAGCTTCACGCTCTTGCTGTTACGGTGTGACACTGTACCTCACACTATCACTGAAGGTGAGGTTCTGCATTATCATGTTTTACGACCCGCGGTGAAATACCGAACTATCACTATCACTTTGCGAAGGTAACATTCTGCGCCTAAATTATTGGAATCGTCTCAAAGCTCTCCAAATATACCCACTAGAAATACGACGGGAGAGATGTCAAATAATATACACTTGGAAAATACTGGAGGGCCAGGTCCCAAATTTACACAGTAAAATAACAACATACTGGAGTGAACGATATGGAAGAAAATGCAGAATAGAACCAGTGAAGAGTAGAGGTGCCATAGGCACAGAGAACACTGTATAAACATCAGAGGTCCGCGGTTGTTCAACTTCCTCCCAGCAACTGTAAGAAATATTGCCGGAACAACCGTGGACATCTTCAAGCAAACACTAGATTTTTTTCTTCAAGAAGTACCGGACCAACCGGGCTGCGGCGGCTATGTGGGCCTGCGGGCCGCTCCAAGCAACAGGCTTGGCTTGAAAATTCGATGGCCTATTCACCATGGGCTGGCATGATGGCTTGTTGGTCTTGAATTTTTACTTCGCGGCAGGAGGCTAGCCAGTGTTGGGGCGGATGGCTGTTGTCCTGGCTTAAGTGAGGAGTCCTCGTCGTCGGCTGGTTCAGTTACTGGTACTGGGGCCCACGCTCACAAAGAACTCTCGGGCCCTGGGGCCAGATTCACGAACCAGTTACGCAAGCACTTACGAGCGTGTACATCTTTCCTCAATCTTTGACGGCTTTGGTTACAAATATTAAATAGTTTACAAGCTTGAAAACTTCCCAATCAACTGTTGTTATTGTTATAAACAGCTTCCTGGTGCTTCGGAGCTCATTAACTGTTTAATAATTGTAAACAAAGCCGTCAATGATTGAGAAAAGATAAGACAGGTTCGTAAGTGCTTGCGTAACTGCTTCGTGAATCTGGCCCCTGGTTGGTGGTTCTCTGGGCCCTTCAACAACTCAAACCACTGGCTTGTTGTGGGACCCACGGTTACTGAACCCACGGGCCCCAAGCCTGGTTCTATGGGGCCCTCTATCAACTAAATGTCATGTACGTTAATATGTTTAAAAAAAAACTTACGAATAACGACTTCTATAATTTAAAAAATATATTTATTTCAGATTAAGATTCCTCAATTTAAATGTTAATGTTCTCAGTTTGCTGATTTAAAGGTTCCAGCATTGTGTTGAATACTTGGGCACGTCCAAGTGTGATCACATTACTTTTAATAATTAGATTAAATATTGTGCATACAATTTAAGTGTGAAATATTAGAATATATTCATATATTCTAATAAATTAAAAATGTATAAAAGTAAACTACTGGTCCATAGTTGCCCATAATGGCCCCATATGAGCAACTTAAATTTACACACACCCACATATATGTCTAACCTACGCTTGAAACAATCCAGCGATCCGACGTCGATTATGTTACCCGATACATAATGCACACACTGAGCTGTGGGAGGGGGGAGCTCTTAGCCTACACACACTGAGCTGTGGGAGGGGGGAGCTCTTAGCCTACACACACTAAGCTGTGGGAGGGGGAGCTCTTAGCCTTCACACACTGAGCTGTGGGAGGGAGGAGCTCTTAGCCTACACACACTAAGCTGTGGGAGGGGGAGCTCTTAGCCTTCACACACTGAGCTGTGGGAGGGGGGAGCTCTTAGCCTTCACACACTGAGCTGTGGGAGGGGGAGCTCTTAGCCTTCACACACTGAGCTGTGGGAGGGGGAGCTCTTAGCCTACACATATTGAGCTGTGGGAGGGGGAGCTCTTAGCCTTCACACACTGAGCTGTGGGAGGGGGAGCTCTTAGCCTGCACACACTGAGCTGTGGGAGGGGGAGCTCTTAGCCTGCACACACTGAGCTGTGGGAGGGGGAGCTCTTAGCCTGCACACACTGAGCTGTGGGAGGGGGAGCTCTTAGCCTGCACACACTGAGCTGTGGGAGGGGGAGCTCTTAGCCAGAAAATAAGAGGCAGAACAGTTCTGCTTCTCTGCCCTCAAAGTCTAATGTATAAACAAAATACAATTAAAGATGATAATAAGTTTCCTGTAGGAACTGATGTTTGAACATTCAATATAATGTTAGCAGACTTATTATAATAATCCAGGGACAATTATTTTTATCCTATAACATATTCAATAACTTGTACCATTAAACATGTCATTTTATGTATAATTAATGTATTAAACATGGCCCCACTATATGATTTACATATACATATCTAAAATAAACATTAAATATTCAGATTCCATTATATTTAATAATATAATTATAAGTGTAGTCTCATGTTGCTTGAATTTTCGTAAAACTTTGTTTTGTTTACCTGTAGTTTGTTTCCAGAGTTGTTCTACTCCACCAGCCCCAACCTGAGGCCAGGCTTATCTTGTGAAAATTTGATCTAAAAGGCTGTTGCTTGTAGCGGGCCGCATGTCCCCATATCCGCTACCAACCCGTTCTCGCACTTTCTTTTAGTCAATATTGACTTATTAAATACGTGCATATGTGACATACTAATTTATTATGAATATCTTAGTTTACCTTGAAAGCTTCATAGAAAACACCGACCTTACCTAACCTTCTTAGTATGTTAAGATAAGCATCTTATTGCTTCGTAATTACAATTATTACTTAACCTATACCTATAATAGGTTACAATTATTACAATTATTACTTAACCTATACCTATAAATAAAATTACAATTATTACTTAACCTATACCTATAAATAAAATTACAATTATTACTTAACCTATACCTATAATAGGTTAAGTAATAATTGTAATTACGAAGCAATAAGATGCTTATCTTAACATACTAAGAAGGTTAGGTAAGGTCGGTGTTTTCTATGAAGCTTTCAAGGTAAACCAAGATATTCATAATAAATTAGTATGTCACATATGCACGTATTTAATAAGTCAATATTGACTATAAGAAAGTGCGAGAACGGGTTGCCGCTACAGCCCGGCTGGTCCTGCACTTGTTTGGGGTTCACTGGTGCATTTATGTTTCAACCATTGTATCCGGAACAGGTGGCGTGTGCAGTTATGGTTGTGGGCATTGTGGGGGGCATGCCGCGCCCTGATGGGCCCCCTATATACGGACCCCCTTCCTACCCGGCGCCACACCCACAGTCACTTTATAAAGAGGTATGGACCGTGCAGAAGTCGGGCTCACCATAGCCCATGCTACTTGGAACTTTTTGTTCCAAGTAGATGAATCTTAAACAACAAAATGTGCAGAAGCTGCCAAACACAGCCTCGCTAGTTACTATGTTAAGTGGTGGGGAGCAAGGGATTTGAACATGTCTTAGAAACTAAATGTTATCATTTATATTCCCAGTAAAATTACTATAAACCAATGACGTATTTAGTCAACGTGAGTCATGTTTAATTTTGTTGAATGACTTGTATTTGCCAATACAAGTCTCACTACTCCAATAGTTAGCTTATTAACTTTGGTTACAGCTATAGACGTGTTCACTCCAGCCATAACTGTAATGATTTGTGTAAATCACTTACGGATAATGACTCACTAACCAGATATCTGAATATATAGGATGTGACGCCGTTTCAGACCGTCCTTGATAACGGTCCAAGAGGTCGTGATAACGGTCAAAGAGGTCGTGATAACGGTCCAACAGGTCGTGATAACGGTCCAACAGGTCGTGATAACGGTCCAACAGGTAGTGATAACGATCCAACAGGTCGTGATAACGGTCCAAGAGGTCGTGATAACGGTCCAAGAGGTCGTGATAACGGTCCAAGAGGTCGTGATAACGGTCCAACAGGTCGTGATAACGGTCCAACAGGTCGTGATAACGGTCCAAGAGGTCGTGATAACGGTCCAAGAGGTCGTGATAACGGTCCAAGAGGTCGTGATAACGGTCAAAGAGGTCGTGATAACGGTCCAACAGGTCGTGATAACGGTCCAAGAGGTCGTGATAACGGTCCAACAGGTCGTGATAACGGTCCAACAGGTCGTGATAACGGTCCAACAGGTCGTGATAACGGTCCAACAGGTCGTGATAACGGTCCAACAGGTCGTGATAACGGTCCAACAGGTAGTGATAACGATCCAACAGGTCGTGATAACGGTCCAACAGGTCGTGATAACGGTCCAACAGGTAGTGATAACGATCCAACAGGTCGTGATAACGGTCCAAGAGGTCGTGATAACGGTCCAAGAGGTCGTGATAACGGTCCAAGAGGTCGTGATAACGGTCCAACAGGTCGTGATAACGGTCCAAGAGGTCGTGATAACGGTCCAAGAGGTCGTGATAACGGTCCAAGAGGTCGTGATAACGGTCCAAGAGGTCGTGATAACGGTCCAAGAGGTCGTGATAACGGTCAAAGAGGTCGTGATAACGGTCAAAGAGGTCGTGATAACGGTCCAAGAGGTCGTGATAACGGTCCAAGAGGTCGTGATAACGGTCCAAGAGGTCGTGATAACGGTCCAAGAGGTCGTGATAACGGTCCAAGAGGTCGTGATAACGGTCCAAGAGGTCGTGATAACGGTCCAAGAGGTCGTAATAACGGTCCAAGAGGTCGTGATAACGGTCAAAGAGGTCGTGATAACGCTCCAAGAGGTCGTGATAACGGTCCAAGAGGTCGTGATAACGGTCCAACAGGTCGTGATAACGGTCCAAGAGGTCGTGATAACGGTCCAAAAGGTCGTGATAACGGTCCAACAGGTCGTGATAACGGTCCAAGAGGTCGTGATAACGGTCCAACAGGTCGTGATAACGGTCCAACAGGTCGTGATAACGGTCCAACAGGTCGATATAGCGGTCCAACAGGTCGTGATAACGGTCCAAGAGGTCGTGATAACGGTCCAACAGGTCGTGATAACGGTCCAACAGGTCGTGATAACGGTCCAACAGGTCGTGATAACGGTCCAACAGGTCGTGATAACGGTCCAACAGGTCGTGATAACGGTCCAAGACGTCATTCCCTTTATATTCAGATGTGTGGTTTGAATGTCTGATGTTCAGCCTCGTTATTGTGACTTCCTCTCAACTTTAGAGTACAGCTTCAATATCAAAATCTAAGCATCTGTTCCCTGCTGTTCGGCGACACTGTCTTCATGGCTCTCACAAGCCATCAATCATGCCACCTGTTTATAACACTTTTCAAAGGTTTTTAATCAGCAAATCGGTGTATTTGATACAATGTACAATTATTGTGTTGCACAGTGCAACATTCCCAGAATATCCAGCATCAGAGCGAAGTCAAGACCCGAGATGCTCTCACATGCGGAGAATCTCAGTCACAATAACGGGGCTGAAACAACCCAACCAACGCATTAAACGAGAAGGACCACATTTCGGTCCAGGACGGATCGAAACGTCGTCACTATATAATATATATGTGGGTTGGGTTGTTTGTTTCAAGTAACGTTTAGATTAGAACGTGAAAAGATGAATTTCAAAAGATGACGACATTTTGATGGATAGATGGATATATAGATGATGGATAGATGGATATATAGATGATGGATAGATTTATGGATAGATGAATGGATAGACACCAAATATTCAATATATAATGAGCCAGCCAGGCGACTTTGACTGGGACCACCTGGCTTCTTGCAGGTTATCTTTCCACGATTCCGTGGATCAATGTTCCCGCGGACCGGTCTCTGACCACTTGGTTAGTGTGCTAGTCAACCAGGCCGGGTCTGGGTTCGATCCCCAATGATCCAATTAAATGTCTGGGTACCGGGCCACCTCTTTATCCTCATATCCAAGCTCCTTGTCCTCATATCCCCCTTCCAAGTGCTACACAGTTACGCTGGCTTAGTGCCGCCTCCTCCTCCACTACTAACATTTCAGTGCATACTAAGAGTTATGAACCTGTTGCAGGAGCCGAAGCCATACGCCTTCGACTACGGCGTGCAGGACACCTACACCGGCGCCAACTTCGGCCACACTGAGAACTCCGACGGGAAGGCTGTGAAGGGCTCGTACTCCGTGGCGCTGCCCGACGGCCGCGTTCAGACCGTTAACTACGTCGCCGACCATGTCAATGGTTTCCAGGCCGAGGTCACCTACGAGGGCCAGGCGGTCTATCCCGAGCACAAGCCTGGCTACAACAAGCCCGCGCCTAATGTCTACCCTCAACCCGCTCCTCCTGTCTATCCTCAACCCGCTCCTGTCTATCCGCAACCTTCACCATCCCCATACGCGTAACACCGGACCTTCCCGCGTAGATACTCCCTGAAAACAAGGAGATCCATCCCCCCCCAAAGGTCAGCAAGCAACCTTTGGTCTGGTTGTACAGGGATCAAACAACGAAGGAACAGTGCCCAATCGTCCAGTCCTTACGAAGATTCGAACCAGAGTCATTTCGTTTGCCGGGTGAGGCGTTGGCCACAATAACCAGTGTCACAAGACAAAATGTTTAGGGTAACTGCATTACTCTGTTGTGTACGCATCCTGGGTGTGTATACGTGTGCATTTTAATTATTTAAAATGTGAATGTTTGTATATATTTTATATATGTGCGTTTTGACGTGCGTGCACAAGTTGAATAAAATGTTTTATATGGCATAATAATGACATGTTTGCTTACTGACAAAGGTCAACCCTCCCACTCTTATCATACTTACCCAATTACACATTCTCTAATTATTCATCCATTAACTTCAGTCCTCATTGACCATCCACTTAGACTGGTCAACAGGGCGACAGCCTCGCTCCTTGCAGGTCGGCATTCGATCCCCGAGTATCCAAGTGGTTCCTTCCCCCTGTCCTACACCCAGAACCTTGTCCTCGTATTCCTTGCACGTGGTATATAGACGTACTGGCTTAGCGTTTTCTCCTCACGATTAATACCCAACCACTTGGGATGAACGGTAGAGGGACGGCCTCGCTTCATGCAGGTCGGTGTTCAATCCCCGACCGTCCAAGTGGTTGGCCACCATTCCTTTCCCCCATCCCATCCCAAATCCTTATTCTTCAGCCCGTCCACATAAACAAAGACCAAAGTCCATTCCATGTACCCGCCAAACCCGCCTGTTTATGAGTGAAAACGGTTTACACACGACACTCAACTGATGACGTCCGAACACTTCCGGAACAAGTGCTTCACTGACGAATTTTGTTCGAACCACAACGCTGTAAATGCTTCACCCACGTACTACAAATACAAATAATCGCCAACAGAACCTAAACACCTAACCTAACCTATGCCTAAATATGCACAATATGCTAATATATAATAATAATTTATATGACAAAATTCCTATTTTGAATGAACAGCATGTTAAGATTGTTGAATGCGTCTTTGGGGTCGACCGCTGGATGGAATTGTCTGAGGTCAAGTTATATTCTCTTTTTCTTTAAGGTGCTAAACAGTCGTAATGGCTAAGCTCTTTCTACTGATAATTACCTTACCCAGCCCCATCCTATCCCACGCCCCAATCTATCCCACGCCTCAACCTATCCCACGCCCCAACCTATCCCACGCCCCATCCTATCCCACGCCCCAACCTATCCCACGCCCCATCTTATCCCACGCCCCATCCTATCCCACGCCCCAACCTATCTCACGCCCCATCCTATCCCACGCCCCATCCTATCCCACGCCCCATCCTATCCCACGCCCCATCCTATCCCACGCCCATCCTATCCCACGCCCCATCCTATCCCACGCCCCATCCTATCCCACCCCCCATCCTATCCCACCCCCCAACCTATCCCACTCCCCAACCTATCCCACCCCAACCTATCCCACGCCCCATCCTATCCCACGCCCCACCAAATCCCACTCCCCACCCTATTCTACGCCCCATCCTATCCCACGCCCCATCCTATCTCACGCCCCATCCTATCCCACACCCCAACCTATCCCACGCCCCATCCTATCTCACGCCCCAACCTATCCTACGCTCCACCCTATCCTACGCTCCACCCTATCCCACGCTCCACCCTATCCCACGCCCCACCCTATCCCAACGCCCCAACCTATCCCAACCCCCATCCTATCCCAACGCCCCATCCTATCCCACGCCCCATCTTATCCCACGTCCCAACCTATCCCACGCCCCAACCTATCCCACGCCCCAACCTATCCCACGCCCCAACCTATCCCACGACCCATCCTATCCCACGACCCATCCTATCCCGACCCATCCTATCCCACGACCCATCCTATCTCACGCCCCATCCTATCCCACGCCCCAACCTATCCCACGCCCCATCCTATCTCACGCCCCATCCTATCCCACACACCAACCTATCCCACGCCCCATGCTATCCCACGCCCCATCCTATCCCACACCCCAACCTATCCCACACCCCAACCTATCCCACGCCCCAACCTATCCCACGCCCCAACCTATCCCACGCCCCAACCTATCCCACGCCCCAACCTATCCCACGCCCCATCCTATCCCACGCCCCAACCTATCCCACGCCCCATCCTATCCCACGCCCCATCCTATCCCACGCCCCAACCTATCCCACGCCCCAACCTATCCCACGCCCCATCCTATCCCACGCCCCAACCTATTCTACATTTATTCCACCTATGTGTCGGTGACGGCCTTAAATAGGACCTATGGAACCGGCTTTGACTTTCTCCTATAGAGTAGCAATAGTCGGTAACACTGTAACCAAGCGGTAAATAGGTACCTGGGAGTTAGTCAGCTGTCACGGGCTGCTTCCTGGGGGTGGAGGCCTGGTCGAGGACCGGGCCGTGGGGACACTAAAGCCCCGAAATCAACTCAAGATATCCTCAAGATATTACCAATAGTCCAGTCCGTCCTGGACACTCACGACTTAGTAATGGACCAGGACAGGAGCGAAACGTCGTCGCTTCTCCATCTTCTGAGTTGTGGTTTTGTCATCTCAAGAGATCCTCTTTCTTTCCCTTGTTAGAGCCGACACTGGTACCTGTATTGATCAAGGTACCTATAGCGGTCAACCCACTCAAGTGTTTCACCATTAATTTGCAGTTCTTCGTTTTCTGACTTCTTGTAAGGGTATGCTTTTATCTTTTTTGTGGAGTGAGAAACCGAGTTGAACACATTTCCTTCCAAGAAGTTGAATGGACTTTGTTGACCAGACCACACACTAGAAGTTGAAGGGACGACGACGTTTCGGTCCGTCCTGGACCATTCTCAAGTCGATTGAATGGACTTTATTTTTCACAAAGGCTTCAATCAGGACATCAGCTGCATATCCCACCAGGTTGTTTCTTCCGGAAATTCAAAATTAACAATGTCGTTCGTAAGGATTTTGAATAGTGTGGGACTTGACATTCCTCCTTCAGTGGGTCTTAAATTCCCTATTAATTCTTCTCGAGACTGCTCCGTTAAGAGACCTTCGCTCCTCTCCTTGTGAGGTGCTCTTCAGTCCGTTTCATGAGTCTGCTTATGTCTGCGGGGAGGGAGGAGGAGGATGCTGCATCACTCCACTTGTGTATTAGTGCCTCAGCCTTACCCTTGGGGGTCTTTGTGAGCCTCTGGCCGGGTTCTGCCCCCCTTAGCATATCTGAATTTTTTTGCCCACACTTGTCTTGCAGATGTTTCTCTTCCAATGGAGCTAGTGAAGTCAAGCCGTTGTCTTCGTTCTATAATCTTCTCTTCCCTGGCTACTTACCTGGAGAGGGTTTCGGGAGTTCTACTTCCCGAGGCCGGTCAAGAGTTTTAAATAACTCTTAGGATTCTCTCAGCGGGATGTCTCCGGTGCTCTCTGCTCATGGTCAGAACACCTGCATACACCGTGTTTATGTCACCAGATTCATACCATTTTGGGTTTCTTCTCTCGAACCATCCTCCAGCAGTTTGTAATGAAGTGATTTATATTAGTTCCTGTTGTCAGTGACAGGAAGCCTCGTCCTTAAACTATATCTTCCTCTCCCTCCCTCCCTCCTCGTCCTTTCTCATCCTCACATTCGAGCTTCCTCCCTTCCTCTTACTCGTCCTTCTCCTCCTCTCTCCCTTCCACGCGTCCTTCTTCCTCCTTTCCACTCATCCTTCCTCTTCCACTGTTCGCCTTACCTCTTTATTTTTTCCAAGCATTCACTTTTCCTCATCCTCCCTCTCTATCACCTCTCCATCCCATTTCTCTGCTCCTCACTATCATCCTTTTTTCCGCCCCCTCTCTTCTACACCTTTATTCGCCACCTTCCCGTCTCCTTTCTCCTCCTCTCACAATCCAATCTCCCTCCATCTCTATAATCCTCTTTCCGGCATTCTATTCTCTCTTTCATCCCTCCATACCCGTCCCATACATTCCTCCCTCCCTCCCTCCCCCCCCCTCTCTCTCTCTCTCTCTCTCTCTCTCTCTCTCTCTCTCTCTCTCTCTCTCTCTCTCTCTTTCTCTCTCTCTCTCTCTCTCCCTCCCCTCCACCTACCCTCCCTCTACTCTGCCCATCCATTGTACAAGCACTCGCCTCCATCCCCGCTCCTTCATTATCCAGCGCAGGACAGCTCTTCTCCATCACTACTACACGGCCCCCGTCGGTGTCTGGTGGGAGGGAATACACCGTCCCTGGAAGGGCCGCCCCCATCCCCAGACATCGTCCTTGGAAGGGGCCCCCCGACACCGTTACCTTAAGGTGCTTCCGGGGCTTAGTGTCCCCGCGGCCCGGTCGTCGACCAGGCCTCTTGAGAAGGGGCCGTCCCTGGAAGGGGCCCCCCCAGCACCGTCCCTGGAAGGGGGGCCCCCCCCCAGACACCGTCCCTGGAAGGGGGGCCCCCCCCAGACACCGTCCCTGGAAGGGGCTCTCCCAGACACCGTCCCTGGAAGGGCCCCCCCCAGACACCGTCCCTGGAAGGGGGCCCCAAGACACCGTCCCTGGAAGGGGGCCCCCCCCCAGACACCGTCCCTGGAAGGGGGCCCCCCCCAGACACCGTCCCTGGAAGGGGGCCCCCCCCCAGACACCGTCCCTGGAAGGGCCCCCCCCCCCCAGACACCGTCCCTGGAAGGGGGCCCCCCAGACACCGTCCCTGGAAGGGCCCCCCCCCAGACACCGTCCCTGGAAGGGGGCCCTCCCCCCAGACACCGTCCCTGGAAGGGGGCCCCCCCAGACACCGTCCCTGGAAGGGGCCCCCCCCAGACACCGTCCCTGGAAGGGGCCCCCCAGACACCGTCCCTGGAAGGGGGCCCCCCAGACACCGTCCCTGGAAGGGCCCCCCCCCCAGACACCGTCCCTGGAAGGGGCCCTCCCCCCAGACACCGTCCCTGGAAGGGGCCCCCCCCCCAGACACCGTCCCTGGAAGGGGCCCCCCCCCAGACACCGTCCCTGGAAGGGGCCCCCCCAGACACCGTTCATGGAAGGGCCCCCCCCCAGACACCGTCCCTGGAAGGGGCCCCCAGACACCGTCCCTGGAAGGCCCCCCCCAGACACCGTCCCTGGAAGGGCCCCCCCCCCAGACACCGTCCCTGGAAGGGGCCCCCCCCAGACACCGTCCCTGGAAGGGGCCCCCCCAGACACCGTCCCTGGAAGGGGCCCCCCCAGACACCGTCCCTGGAAGGGGCCCCTCCCTGACACCGTCCCTGGAAGGGGCCCTCCCTGACACCGTCCCTGGAAGGGGCCCCTCCCTGACACCGTCCCTGGAAGGGGCCCTCCCTGACACCGTCCCTGGAAGGGGCCCTCCCTGACACCGTCCCTGGAAGGGGCCCCTCCCTGACACCGTCCCTGGAAGGGGCCCCTCCCTGACACCGTCCCTGGAAGGGGCCCCTCCCTGACACCGTCCCTGGAAGGGGCCTTCATAACCGAAGACTCCGCTGCTCACGCCATCACCTCAACCTTTTCAACCTTTTCAAGAATAAACATTTATATATTTATTATTTATTTATAACTAATGAAGATAACATCGCGATTTTAACAACATATTAACCTAAGA